CAGCTGTGAAAAAAAACCACCAAGAACTCTCATCCCCTCTTCCAGAGTGTTCCATAAGCATCACTGCTCTTGGTTTTGGAAGAGGGAAGGGTACAAGTTCTCCTGCAGGCAAAGATTTTGGGACATGGCACTACAAGTCTGTGCTACCCTGGATGCTTTCCTGGGAGCTGTGAGCCTGAAACCTCATCTGCCATCGTGGCAGTGTCTCCCAGAGCATGAAATATATGTGTGAAGTGTCTCATTATTTGTGATTTTCCTTGCAGGCACATTTTCTTTGTGTCAGCAGAGGAGATGGGATTGMAAATGGAAGATTATGGTGTGGCTTAAACTATCTGCATAAATATCAGTCAGGAGAGAGTGTTTCCTTGGGAAATAAGTAGGGTTCTCTGTGCAACAAGGATACCAAGGTCCTGTCCTTGGCGACTCCAGGTGACTCTGCAGTCACCAGGAGGACACAGTGCAGGGCTCTGATGGCCTCGGGGGTGCTCCTCAGGGCTGCAGCCTGCCTTCAGCCTTGCTGCTCCTTGTTTGCCTTCTGTCCCCTTGGTGTTTTGTAATCAGGTGTGTTCCCATCTGGAGCGACCTTGCCGTGCGYTTGTGCCGTCTCTGTTTTTAGGTACCTGCTCCTGCTGGGGGAACCAAGTGTTCCGTCTTCTCTGAGCTGATTTATTTAAGCTGCTCCCTGAGCCCCTGGCCGGACATCAGGCTTTGAGGCAGAATTTTGATGTCAGGTGTACCTAATGCAGGCAGCAGCCTCCGCCGTGGCTTCCGGTGAGGAGCAGAGGCTGCAGGGTGGCTTTGCATTCCAGGTGTAGAAAACCTGACATCTTTCACCTTTTTGACAACATTTTCTGCTTCTTCCTTATGGATGACTGGAAGGTGAGAGCCCAGGATGGCCGTCAGAAGAGGGGGCTCCCCAGAAATCTGGATTATGTGGATCTGCCTCCCTTTTATGGGTGTGCAGGTGGAAGGCTGGGGGTGTCTCCTGAGTGCAGGGACAAACAGTGGCTGGGTCCATGCCAGGGACAAACAGTGGCTGGGTCCATGCAGCTCCAGGCCTGGAGCAGCTTTCCTGCACAGCAGAGGAGCACAGGAGAAAGGAGCCAGGGGCTGGGAGTGTGGAGAGGGCTTCAGCTGCAGTGGGGACCTGCTGTGTGAAAAATAAACTGTCAAAATAAGGAAGCAGAGTGTTTGAAAACAAAAAAACCAGCGTTTAATTGGGAGATGTGAGAAGGGATTTGTGCAGCTTGTGGAAGCTGCGTGTGCCCCCAGGGTCGGGAGGCAGTGCCAGGGCTGGAGAACCGAGCCTGCTCCTGGGAGCTGCTGGTGGGAGGACCTTTGCTTTTCTCTGCGGCGTGCCAGCCTGCACTGCTGGGATGCTTGGAAAACCCACTGTCATCTGCTAATATTTATTTAAATCTGGTGATGATCCAGTTCCCGTGTGTGTTTACCAGGCCCGGGGCTCTCGCTGAGCCCTGCTCTGCTCTCAGATGCTATCGCTCCTCTGCTGCCATCACACAGAAAACAAGGCACGGGCAGATTGCAATCATACTCATGGCTGTTTAGAAGAAAGGACATAAATTCAGTGTACAGAGCTGCATGTTTATAGATTAAATGGCTCAAAGCATTTTAATAGATGAATGCTTTAAAGTTTCCGTGCAGTCTTTGTTATCTGGATGAGAGTGATGTGGTGGCTGAGMGTGCAGGCTTGGCTCAGCTCTGTCTGGAGCCAGCAGCAGCCAAATGACAGTGCAAAGGCACATGAGGATGTGCCCCAAGTGAGCAGCTGTGCCCTTTGCTGGGCATGGATCTGGCCCCTCTGTGACCTTCATCCAGGCAGGAGCCCCACAGCTGCACWGAAGAGAAGCCAGTTAAATTTAATTTTGTATCAGAGAACATCGTGCACAGGTGATGCTGTTTCAAAGGCATAGATTCCTCCTGACAACATCAGAGTGTCTCAGAAATGACAGTGCTGGAAATGACTGGATAGGTTCTGTGTTGCCTGAGTTCAGGTGTGAGTGCTGGCTCGGTCCTGGGCTCAGCATCCTCCTGAGCATCACAGACATGCAGGTTTTGGACACAGCGTGGGGAAGGTGCAAACCCCCTGTCCCTTTCCTTAAGGGGTATGGGACTGCTCTGCTCTGGGGTTTCCGTGCTGGATGAGCTGAGGGTTTGTGGCAGCTGCCATCATTTTTTCCTGCTCTCATTTAGGGGAGGGAATTTGTGCTCTGGCTTATTTTGGGCAGCCTGTGCTGGCTGCTGCCGAGATGGAAACTTCCTTTGTGTGTTGGGAGAAGTGATTGGCTCCTCTCTCCCCAGTGCTTGCTCTTGGCTTTCTGGGGGTGTTGTGAAATGTGGCTGTTTGGTGAAATTTAACTAATGACAAACAAGTGCTAGCATTGCAAAATGATGTTTTCTACTCCCCAGAAATATTTGCATGTGATGGGAGCTCAGTAAACGCTGGCAGAACCCTTCTGAAATGAGAGTAAAACTCATCCTGGAGCAGCAGGAGAGATACCGAGGTTGTTTTTCCCTGCCCCCGAAAGCCACCACGCTCCTTGGTGACAGCGGTGACCTTGGCCTTCGGGGCGTGCGCCAGCTCTGGCATCACTGCCACCGTCCCCAGGGCCCAGTTGTGTCTGTCCTGGCGTGCTATCGCCCTGCTTTGGGCTCTGCAGCTGGGCTGACACTTGCCACACATTGCACTGACCACGAGCCACGCATTGCACTGACCACAAACCACACATTGCACTGACCACGAGCTCCCCACGGCGCGCTCGGGGCTCGTTTTGGTCTGAGCTCTGCACTCCTGTGGCTCTGTGTGCCAGCACAGCCCCACGGAGGACAAACTCCCCCCAGAGCAAAGCTTTGGGGCTGTGGGTGGTGAGCTGGATGCTGAGCCACTCCTGGTGTCCCCCATGTCCCCTCACAGGGGCGAGGGGTGTGGCACTGCTGTGCACTGGCACCCCAAGGCAGGTGGCACCTGGGGCTCTGCCAGCCCCTYGCCCCTGCAGCTCCTCCAGGCACCTTTTTTGGCTCGTTGGCCACTCTTATGTATTGCCTGCACGTTTTCAGAACACCCTGTAAATGTCCCTTGGAAACTGGAAAATGGATCGTTAAGGGAACCATTAGCATAGCTCACTCCGAGTTGCTAAAACATTTTACATTATCTTTTTTCTTGCAATTCTCTCTCTAAAAATAAAAAAGAAAAGGCAAATTGACATCGTTTGAAAGTCAAAGGCATTCCTGGGYAGATGCTTCATCTCTGGGCAGYGGCTGCTGGTGGGGAACCACATTAKTTGTGCAGGGCCTGTGGTTGARCCGCTCCCCACTGGCCAAAACACCATCTCCTGCCCYGCTGGGTGCTGGGGCTGTGCACACCCCGCAATCTTTACCCCAGGAAGAGCCTGTCCATGGCCAGGAATCACCTTCCATGTCTGCCAGCACCCCTCAGTGTCCATCCTTTGGTGGCAGTGGGGACAAGGGTGGCTGATCAGGGAGGGATGTGGGGGATCCCTGGCCAGCCCCATCCCTGGCAGGGCACAGGTATGGGGTATTCTCCMTACACACCTGCTGGAAGGTGTTTCTGTACTTGCACAACTCTTCCCACACAGGAACAGCTCTTTAAAAGCTGTTTCAGAAGCCACTCAATWGCAAACCTGCTTTGCAGTTTTAGATAATTAATGCTCAAAAACAAGCCAGGGTCCTCTGGGGATCCTGTGTCTGCTGTCACGACTCTTGCTGWGAGAGGCGCTGCTGGTCATGGCACACACGGTGCTGAGCGTGGGGAAGCCTTGTGGAAATGAGAACTGCCAGATTTCTGACTGCACACAGGGGAGAAAAGAGGTGTTGGGTCATTAGCAGAAAGGCCTGTTCTGTGTGAATCTAAAACCTGCTGGGTAAATAAGATACTTTTAGCCAAGCTTTTCTATGTGCTGCTGGTATTCCTCAGCAGGGTCTGCTCTCCTGCAGGGAGAGCACCCAGGGCTCTGTGCACAAGGCATGGGGGTTGTGGGGTGCCCTGAGATGGGCTGGTGGGATCACACCAGGAGCACGGGCGGGATGCCACGGAAGCCAAGAAAGAAACTCGTTGTTTGCACCAGGACTTGGCTATGGCAGGCACGGTGCAGCCAACTGTGTCTCCTCCACTTAATCAGTAATTCAAGAAAAGCCTCAGAAATGGGGATGGTTGGGGAAGGATGGCTGATCTGCATCCACAGATGAGTCACTGATTGCTCCTGCTAAAGAGAAATCGCTCACAAGGCTTTTTCCATAAGAGCTGAGGATGAAATTTCTGCTYCAGTCACTGACCTGAAGCTGAGGTGGGATCTGCACAGCTGCTGGGTGAGGACAGTGGGGTTTTTCTGGGTGTAACGGTTTTTTTCCAATAAGTCCCATCTTTGTCACATTCGTTATTGATGTAGTCTGATATCTCAGAGCTCACCTGCAAGCATTAAACAATGCCAGAAATGAAAGAGGATCTAATTTTTACCCAAAAGTTGYGGTGACCTGCAGACTATTAAACGCTAATTGCCACATCCAGTGGTTGCAGAAGAAGTGAATTCTAGCCACTGACTTAATGTGCTGCCTGGGCATGTTGGCTCCTGATTTGGATAAGCCACTTTCCTCCTGCCATGCCCTCTGGAAAAGCAGTTTGTCCTGGATGTGATCATGGATGTGATTATGGATCTGATCATGGATGTGATCATGGATGTGATCATGGATCTGATAATGGATGTGATCATGGATGTGATCATGGATGTGATCATGGATGTGATCATGAATGTGATCATGGATGTGATCATGAATGTGATCATGGATCTGATCATGGATCTGACCTCTGCGTGGTCAGGCCCAGCTTTGGCTCAGCTGTTGCTCACCTGCCTGTTCTCTGTGCTTGGCTGATCCATCACTGCACTTTTGGTTTGCTGTGACCGTGCTCGCCCTGATGGTCACGTTTTCTGACCCTCCCCTTGTTCTCTCTCTGTTTTATGCTGCAGGCTGGAGACTGGCCGTGACCACGTCCTGCCCATTGATTATTACTTCCCTCCTCAGAAGACCTGCCTGATCTGTGGAGATGAAGCGTCCGGGTGCCATTACGGAGCCCTCACGTGTGGGAGCTGCAAAGTCTTCTTCAAACGGGCAGCTGAAGGTAATGGGGACAGAAATAAGATCACTGACACACTGTGGTGCTGTTCTAAGAGCTCTCAAACCAGGAAAGGAGAAAAATCAAAGATAAATTGATTTCTCTGTCCCGTGTTTGTCATTTCCCTTCACAGATTGCCCTCAAAAAGTAGCCAAACCAGTCTGCCAAAATAAAATTATTTTCAGTGGCGTTGAGCAACSTGGTCTCGTGAAAGGCGTCYCTGCCATGGCAGGRGYGTGGAACAGAATGGCCTTTAAGGTCCCTTCCAACYCAAACCCTTCTGTGATTCCATGATTATCTTAGTGACCTGGTGAGACCTGGAGCAGTCAGTTCCTGCTTTTCAATTCTCCAGAGTGCTTTAAGGTCCCATCAGCCCACCTGTGATCTCAGATCCACAACGCCCAGTTCAGGGCAGGCTTTCCCTCTCCTGCACCCCTTCCTGAGGGTCACTTCTGTTCCTGCCCACAAAACAGCACAACCATCTGTCCATCAGCAGCCCTGCTCTACCCTTGGGGTCCATGATCCTTCTCCCCAGCCCTTGAGAAAGCAATTTCTCCTTCCTGTCCAGGGTCTAGAGCAACGAGTGTGAGCCCAAATGTTCCCTCTCAACAGCAAGGTCCTTGCACCCTCTTTCCTTGGGAATGAGCAYGCAGAAGCACCTAACCCAGCTGTTTCCTGAGCCTGTGCCCCAGCAATGTCTGGTTTCTACCTGCACTCCAGCCGTGRTTCTCTGGCAGCAGGGAGAGTCTCTGCTGTGGAAAATGAACTGTCTGGCAATGTGGCGTGCCTGTAGTCACTCACCAGCACAACCCATCGTTTTTGCTCAGTGCTGTCACCATTTATTTGGTGCACGGGCACGCTGTTGGCAGCCACTGTCACCGTCATTGGTGTCCCTGGGGTAGGGCTGGCAGCAGAGATGGGGACAGAGCTTCTGTCTCACCATGACCTCCCCCTGTGCCCATCCTCTCCCCTCTGTGAGCAGAGGTCACAGCTAAGGGGTGCTCACCTGCTGATGACAGAATGCTGCTTTTACATCAATTATCATTACCCTGCCTCTTTCTGGAGTTGTGTTTCCCTCGTTCCTCCATGGCAGGAGCCACCTTGCCAGTGCTGGTTCAGGGAAGAACAGGAGCTATGCCACCAGGGACATCGGTGTCCTAGTGCCAAACAAGGCAGTCAAATAATAGTTAATACATTTCGCATATTTCTCCCAAGTAAATCATTTGCAGATCTGTCTCTGCTGCACACCAGCTCTGTGTCAAGCCAAGTGGGCTGGCTTGTGCAGCCAGAGTAAATAACAGATGCTTGTTTAAGTCAGCAAGTTATTGTTGATTTATAGTAAGTGGAGTCTTGGCTCTCAGTCAGATAAATTGCCTCTGGAAGGGCTGTGTCTGGGGTGGGTGTGGGAGCTGTGCTCCCCCAGCACTGGGGTGGGCTCTGTCCTGGGGGTGACAGGGACTGCAGGTGCCCATGGGCAGAGGGGCAGCCGGGGCTGCTCATGCTGCTCCAAGGTATGTTCTGTGGAGTCATTCCCTCTGTGTTTGTGTTATAACATTAATTTAAACTGTATTTATGTCTCTTCCTGGTTCTTCAGCCTCACAGTGTGTCAGAGGGCTGGGAGTGTTCGGTCATGTTGGGGTTGGGTGGCAGCTCTTTGCCTTTCCTGAGGAGCTTTGAGKGTGTGCAGGGATGGTCAGGGGGCRCTGCCAAAGTGTGAGGTTTCAACTTGTGTTACCCTGAGGCTCATGGGTAAGTCTTTATTTTAGGGAAGTGGTAATAAATCATGTTCCTTTATAGGTACTGAATGCAGGGATGGCAGGTGATGATTTTTGTTCTAATTTTTGGTGAGTTTCCAGGCAGATCTCTTCCTTCTTAAAGTTGAGGAGCATTACTGAAAGCCGATATTTCAGCGCGTTCTCAWGTTTTAAAGTCCATAAAATGCCTCTCAGAAAACCTTAGGTCACCCTTGGAGACTTTACAGCAGCGGATCAAAATGCTTTCCCATGAGAAAAGAAACCTGTTACCTTCCTGGTGCTGGTGTGAAGCCGCAGCCTTTGGCAGAGGGAGCAGCAGAGGRCTGGGACTGGAGCAGCACAAAAAGCACCTTGGTGGGGAAGGAAACAGCTGGAAACATCATTTCTATTTTATTATATTCTCCTGAGATAAGAGCGAACTTATCTGGCAGGGATTCAGGGATATTTAAGGAGGTTTTATACACGTGCACTGGCTTCTAAGGGGTGAGAAAGGGGAAAGATTGGGAAAAAAAAAAACGTTGTGATGCTGATTCCTCTTCCCTTCCGACACACTGAGGGGTTGTGGGAAAGAGCAGGTTACCCCTGCTTTGATGAAATACTTGACWGATTTGAGGGGTTTTACAAGCTCAGGATCAGCTGCTTCTTCCACACAGATACTGGAAGAGTTAATAGAAGAGACAGGAATGTTGTCCTGATCTCGTTTTGCCAGCTCTCGTGATTCACAGACTCCCTCAAGAGTCCAGGCTGTGTCCAGGCCAGCACTGAAGCGCACTCTGCAGATTCCCCATGTGAGGATCACCTCTCCTGCAGGACCATCACTCTCATTGTGGGACCAAGCCCCTGATGGGCTCTCCCTCCCTTGCAGGCACTGCCCAGGGTCCCAGCAGGGACAGTGCAGTGGCTGCCCTGTGAGCAGGGCTGCTGTCCCTCTCTGCCCACAAAGGAGGGCTCCCCCTCCTCATTTGGTGAGTGAGAAGCTCGCCCAGCTCAGCATGGATGTTGTTTTTCCCTATGTGAGTAGGCAGGACACCTCTCAGCATGGTTAGGATTGCTGGGGTGGGTTGGAGACATCAGAGTTCAGTCCTCCCCTTGTCCCTGAAACAGAAAAATGCTTCCAACAAAGCAGCTTGTGTCTCAGCAGCACAGGGGTTCCTGCTGTCCCACTGTGTCCCTGCAAATATCCCTGGAGGGGACCTTCCCAGTCCCTGTGAGGTTTCTCAGGTCTGGTGGCCACCTTGGCCAGAGCTGCCCCTGCACAGCATTCCTGGCAGTGCAGGACTGGGATKCTTTGGGCTGTGTTCCTGATGGGGCTGCCTTTAAATAGCACAGAGCTAAATGAAAAAAATAACACAGTATTTGGCAATTATCCCAGCAGGCACCTAGCCAGGCTGCTGTGCAGGCTGCTCTGAGTGCCTTCATATGGATTCTCCATATGGATTAGTGCTCTGTGTTCTGACCTGCTGAGGATTAGCCTTACACCAGAGAGATGTCTCTGGGCCAAATCAACATTTTCTTGCCAGATTTCGAGACGACACCAAGTTAAAGCGAACGTTTGCAAAGATCCTATCAAACGCTTTCTYCTCCATCCCAGGCTGCTCTGACATGCACAGAAATTGAGTCTGCAGGAGATTCAGTGGTGCTGCAGCACCACAATGCTCCAGTGGTGGGTGTCTCACGACCATTTGGGTTTTATTTTCCTTTAAAAGCCATAGGGAGAGCAAAATGTGGGATGACCAGAGCACAGGGAAAGCTCTGGGTGCTTTCCCTATGCTCACTGGAGCTGGTAAATACAGAGGGCGATTCAGAAAACCACTTTGCCAAGGTAGTTAATCAGCAGTGGCTTAGTGCTGGCTCCTGGGAGCCTTGTGGCTGAGCCCTCTTAGTTATTAATAGGAGCATCACACGGGAGGGGTGCCAGCACCAAACCCCGGGCTCAGCTCCGGGCATGGCCCTGCTGGTGACAGCCCCAAGGCCCTGAGGCTCCCCAGGAGAACGCTGGAGCCTCCCTGGTTACCCCAGACACGGGGGAGTCGCTTTCATAGAGAGCTTGGCCTTATCCTCCAGCTGTTAGAATTCAGTTTGTGCCCTGAAATAYGAGGATCTCTCTCTTCCAAAAGGCATTTACTGCTTTTCACATTTACAGTCGTATATCTTGCTCCAGATGTTTGCAGAGATTACTTTGCTGTCTGGAGGAGAAAGTTAGTCTGGGCACAAGAGCTCATGTGGCAATAGGCTGTTAGTGAGATGATTCCTCTGGACTCATCATTCCTCTGAGCACCTCACCTCCATAAATCGTTATTTTTAGTCGAGGAGAGAGGGAGAGCAGTTCTTTCCCTTGGCTCCCAGGGTGTGCTGTGGTCCCAGGAGATGAGTGGGAGGCTCAGAGGTGGTGGAAGCATCTTTCTGCCTGGTGTGAGGTGGCACAGRAGGGGACATTCCTGACAGAGGTGGCACTGGCACTGCAGCGTGTTCAGGGTGTGGGCTGCAGCTCAGAGGCTCTCTTGGGGTGCTGCTGCTGCTCTGGGAAAGCAGAGGGTTCTGGGTTGAATTTCCTCATCTCCTTCCCTGGTGGATGGAGGGGGATCTGTGCCTCCTCAGGAATTGGGGTGAGGTGAGCTCAGCTCATTCTCTGCYGAGCAGCAGCAGTGGCACCGTGACCAGCTGTGGCTGTTTGGGTCTGCTTTTGTTACTGGTGAACAGCATAAAGCAAACAGGGCTCCCTTGTGCAGGCCCAGGCAACAGAGAGCAGGTTCCAGCCCCAAAGAGCYTGTCCATGAGCCATGGAGCTGCCCTGGCCATCTCACAATGTCACTGAGCCGTGAATGGGGAGATCTCTTGGCTGCAGCTCACAGCCCGCGCTGCCCTGGGGTGGCACAGCCATCCCACAGCCTCCCCAATATGCCCTGGTTGTTTTCTAGAGCACTCTGCCTGCTCCTGCTCATGGGATGGATCTCCAAATCCCTTCTCAGCAGTTCTGGAGCTGTTCCTGAGGAGCAGATGGGAAACAGCACAATGGTTTCACTGAGCAAGGCTGGGACCCCGTTACCAAACCTGGTCCTCTCCCGTGGGTGCCTGACAGAGACAGAGCAGAGTGGGGGATGAGCCCACATTTTGGGATCTCCCAAATCCCAGGGATGGGGAGGGGGCTGGGACTGGTGGGTGCTGCTCCTGACACAGGAGAATTGGGATGAGCTGTGCCTAATCCTGGAGCATCCTTGGAGASCTCAGGCAGCCATATCTCCGAGCTCTCCATTCCCCATTTGTGAYTGACGTGAGCACCTAAAAAGGTGGAGTGGAGAGAGTGTGGCCTCAGTGCCCCCAGCACAAAAATAACCCCAAGTAACCCAGTTTCAGCTGAAGTTGTTTATTACTCATGCTCCTCCTCAATGAACTGTTGAAAGGGAGGACGGTGCTTGTGCTCCCTGGGATTTAGGTGTCACCAAGGCTTGCCTGAGTGTCCTTCTCATGGGAAATGAGCCAGGGATGGGGTGASAAGAGGTGTTCTCAGGAGAGTGTTAATGTGATTTAACAGGTGTGAGGTGTGGGGGTAATGCTGGTGATGGCTGAGGCGAAGGGTGGGTGATGATCCCCTTTGRAGGGGACAGTTCTGAGAAGGTCAAACGTGGGCTGTGCAGTCCCTGGGCTTTGGGAGAGGAGTGGGCTGGGTGCTGAGCCCTGCCAGGGGCATCTGTGGGGGTGACGGTGTTGGCTGGTCCTGCCAAAACCAACGTGTGGGGGATGTTAAATCTGTGCACCAAAATTGGTGCATCTCGTGTCAAAACTGGCACAGTAAGGGGTTGGATTCAGCCTCATCCTATTAATAAGTTTCTGATGACTCCAAGGGCTATTCTTATAAGAATACAGAAAGTAACCCCTTGCAGGATGATAAATAAAGGCCAAAGGCTGTCTGTCCATGGGTCTGTAAGCTGCACCTCTCTGTTGTGTCTGAGCCCAGTTTGGTTTGGAGYAGYCTGARGAACATCAGATAAATCCTGATCCAGTAAATGTGTTTAGAGTTGACAAGAAAAGTGATGATTCAGGAAGGAAAGTCCTGAAAAAAACTGAAGAAAGAGCTGCTGCTCTCTGAGCGAGTGGAGGGCGAGCCTGAGGTATGGGATACTGTGCCCATGAGTAACTTTGAATTTTCTGCACATCCCCAAAACCCACAAGGTCCCTCATACAGGGAGTTACTGGTCCCAGTTCCCTCCTGGCTGACTGCAGGTAAAGCCCAGGGGGAAGGGTGGCATCAGACCCAACCTCAGTATCTGTAACCTGGAGACAACAGGCCTAACWGGTATAAACGGGTTACACAAAAAAYAATTCAGTCCTGAAAAGGTCTGTACGGGGTCATGGTTATAAAGAGACTGGTAGCTGAGTATCCTGGTAGAAGGATCAAACTGTGGGGTTTAGATTTGGGAGAAAATAGATGGATGACATTTAAAAAATGGGAGTTGAACTCTCCAGACTGCCCCCGGTGATACCAAAAAAGCTCAGCCTGTGTTTCTGCTGATCCTCACCACCCATGTTCTGTTTCTCTGGTGTTTTAGGTAAACAGAAGTACCTGTGTGCCAGCCGGAATGACTGCACCATCGACAAGTTCCGAAGGAAAAACTGCCCGTCCTGCCGCCTGCGGAAATGCTACGAGGCAGGGATGACACTGGGAGGTACGTTCGGGTCCCCTCCTGGGTCACTTGGTGTCTGAATTGTCAGTATGTGGCTGGAAAATGAGGCTAAAGGAGCGTGATGAAATGCTCAGGAAACCTTTGCAGGGTTTTGATACTAAAACTGTGAATTTCAATAGCTTTTGTTTGTGTTTCAGGAAATATGCTTTTGGCTGATTCCAAGCATTGTTAATCAAAAAAAAAAAAAAATTTAAACAGCAGGGTGAGTTGGTTCTGGCTCCTGGAGCTCAGAGCAGAGCAATTCTCTCTTTTGATGGGATTATTCCAAGGCAGAAAGGGGCAATTTCTTGGTGAAATTACAACCCAGTGTTTTCCTTCACTGGGTGGAAGCTGTGCCTGTGTCCTTGGTGAGGGTCCTTGTTACAATCTGTCTCTGTTCCCAAACCTGCCGCCCTACCGAAACTGAGAGTGCCCATATCCAAAATCTGAGGTTTTCTGATCAAAATCTGTGAACTACAGTGTTGATCACTGGGTGTCTCCTCGTTGAGTTAATTTGATGAAATCGTTCCCTGTGTGGGCAGGCCCTGGCACAGGGTGCCCAGAGAAGCTGTGGCTGCCCCTGGATCCCTGGAAGTGTCCAAGGACAGGTTGGACAGGGCTTGGAGCAGCCTGGGATAGGGGAAGGTGTCCCTGTCCATGGGGATGGGCTTTAAGGTCCCTTCCAACCCAAACCATCCTGTGATTCTGTGATGTTAGAGTGAGGAGGAAAATACCCTGGAAAGGGGGCTGACAGCCCTGCCCCTGCTGGGAATCCCTGGATTCAGGGGGCTTCTGGGGCTGCAGAGAGGAAGGTCAGTGTAGGGGGACAGGGGGAGCCCAGACTGSTTGGGTGTGCCAGCATTTTGGGTTAAATCCTGACCCCATTGCTGGGATGGGCTGAGCCCCCAGAGCTGCTGSGCTGTAAAAACACTGTCTTGGAGGACTTGTCACTGAAGTGGTTCTAATTTGCGGCTCACCAAAGGGCAGAGGGTTTAATTTTATTCCTCCCCAAAAGTCCCAAAAGGCAGTGCAGTCCTAACACCCCCTTTTTAGCTTATTTTAAAGTGCTTTTTTTTTCTGGTAAAGTTTCCTTAAGTAAAAGAAGACACACATCAATGTAACCCTCTTCTGCAGGACACATTGACAAAAATCAGTGTTAATACGGATACCCCGCTCCCTTCTTTTTTCTTTAGCTCTTTGGGTCACCCTGACCTGTTCTGCCTGGTCTGTTTTGCATTTGGTTTGGATGTCGGTGTAAAGGCAATTGTTGCAAATAGGCGAGCTCGTGGTTGCCCACAGAGGCGGCAGAGCATTTGAAATCATTCCCAAGCTCCGACCAGTTTGTTTTAACTGGTGGCTAATTACAGTCACTGGTGGGGTACATCCCGGCAGCCCTGTGGCTCTGGTGGGGGAGGAGAAGGAGGAGGAGGAGG